TGGCTGGTTTAGAATACATTTAACTGTTTTGAATCAATACAGTATTTTCCCTTTAAAGTTATTCAATAAATATATGCTAAATGAGTGTGTGAAATTCCCATACTTATCTAATTATATTTGTAGAGTGCTTATGGGTATATTAATACATTTTTGAGAATTGCTCTTTATTTAATTTTTTTATTTATAGAGACAATTATTTATGTATTTATTGACAGGGTCCCTCTTTGCAGCCCAGGCTAGAGTGCAGTAACAGGATCATAGCCCAGTGAGGCCTCAAACTCCTGGGTTTAAATGATCCTCCTATCTCAGCCCTCTGAGTAGCTGGTAGTACAGACATGCAACACCCCACCAGCTAATTTTTAAATTTTGTTGTAGAGAAAGGGTTTTGCTGTGTTGCCCAGGCTGGTCTTGAAGTCCTGGCCTTCTGCAGTCTTTCCACCTAGTCCACCTGAAGTGCTGGAATCATAGATGTGAGTCACTGTGCCTGGCCGAGAATTGCCCAATTGCTCTTTAAAAAAAAAAAAAAAAAAAAAAAAAAAAAAAAAAAAAAAAAAAAAAAAAAAAAAAAAAAAAAAAAAAAAAGGAAGCTATAATTGTACTAAAAAAAGAGAGAGGAAAGAAAGAAAGAAAAAGGTGTGCTCGGTACTTAGGTTTTCAAAAAAATATCCGTAGACTTTAATGAGGAAATGAAAAAGATTAAAGCTTTGGGCACTAGAGATAATCACATGATTAGAGCCCAGAGATACATTTAAGTAGAGAGGGAGGTATATAGTACAATTATTATATTGTTGATCACTTACAATGGTAAGTATTATAACTACTTATATTTGTAAATAGTGGGTAGGAATGGGTTAGAAAATGAGCCACCATCATTTCATGGAAACTGCTGATTGTTTAATTATTAACAAAATGGGGATTAAAATATTTGTCCCTGATTCAGAGTTGTTAAAAACATTATGCAAGTAAACTGTGAAATCATTTTTAAAAATTAGAGTTTATGCAAATATATTAGCATATATTTATGTCACCATTCTTTGTTAATGCAAATTGGAGAGAACGCTCTGTTCATCCACATTTATTTCTATATTTCTAAACTTACTGATAGAAGAGTAGTAACTACACAATGTCCTCCTCCATCTCTTATTGCCTAATTGAAATTCTCATTTCTTTCAAGGGGATAAGCTTGAGGTTTGCTATGTTATGTAGGAGTATCAGGGAAGGCCTTGCTGCTAAAATGATAAATGAGAAGAGATATAAAAGAAGTGAAGGAGCAAGCTTTATGGATACCTGAGACAAGGGTGTTATAGGCAGAATCACAAGTATAGAGGCCATGATATAGGAGACTTCTTGGTATATTTGAGAAAGAGCAGGGATACTGTGGTTGGAGTAGAGGAGAGGTCTAAGAACTGAAGTCAGAGAGGTGGTGGGCCTTTGCTCTGAGTGGGATGGGGAGACACTGGAGGGTTTGAGTTGAGGAGTGACAATCTAATTGATGATTTGAAATAATATTTTTGGCTATTATGTTTAGAAAAGACTATATGCCAGCCTGAGCAACATAGTAAGACTTTGTCTCTACAAAAAATCAAAAAATGATTCAGGAGGATCATTTGAGTCTGGGAGGTCTATGCTACAATGAGCAGTGATTGCACCACTGCACTCCCATCTAATGGCAGAGAGAGACCCTGCCAAAAAAAAAAAGAGAGAGAGAAAAGACTGTAGGAGGGCAAAGGTGACAGCATGTAAACTAGTAGGACATTACTGCAGTAATGTAGGGGATAGATGATGATGGGTTGTGCCAGGGTGGTGGCACTAGAGGAGGTGAGAAGTGATGGGATTCTGTATGTAGTTTGATGTTGGAGCTCACAGGATTTTCTGATGGATAGATAATTTCTGATGGAATTAGAGAAACGAATGAATGCTGACATCAGGAATTTGGACTTGAATAATTGGAAGGATGAAAGATGGAGAAACATTGCAGGAGAAGCAGATTGAGGATGGGTGGGTGAGATATGGAGTTCAGTTTTGACAAGTGAAGTTTGAGATGCTTATTAAACATCCAAATGGAAATGTTGAATATCAGTTGGATATGAGTCTGGAACTCGGGAAACCTCTGAGCTACAGATATAAATTTGGAAGTCATGAGGGTACTGATAATATTTAAAGCTAGGGGACTAGATAAGGTTATTGAGGAGAGTGGGTAAGATTACCCAGGGAGTAAAAGTAAAGAAAATAAGTCTTATTATGTTTAGTGGTACCTTAAACATCCTAAATCCTCATTGAGAAATTAGGGGGAACTAATAAATGTGATTCAGAAAGGGCATCCATGATGTAGGAAGACAATCTGGGAGAGAGTGGTGCCCTGGAAATACTGGTGTGCTGGAGATGGCTCATATCAGCTTGCAAGAGCCTATCATTAAATTTTCAGCAAATTTGCAAGAAAATACCGCCATTTAAAAAATGGTAAACACAGCCACTTACAAATTATGCATAAACTATGGGCCAGGCATGGTGGCTCATGCCTGTAATCCTAGCACTTTGGGAGGTCAAGACAGGAGGATTGCTTGAGGTTGGGAGTTCAAGACTAACTTGGGCAACGTAGAGAAACCTCATCTATTTTTGTAAACAAAAAAAATTACGCATAAGCTTAAATATATTAAAAAGTAATAAATACTCAACAGTCATCAATTCCTAATTATTTTTCATTTTGATTCCATTTCTGCTCTTGAGTTATTTACATTGATGGTATCTGTATGGTGGATAAGCTGCATAATGGTATGCTGCTATGCATCTCTTTCCAGATACGTGTTCAGAGACATTATGTTGGTAGCTTGAAATTGGCCATGATGGGAATATTTAGACCTTGAAAAATGCAAATGCTACAAATTTGGGCTTGATTTATTGTTTTACTGATAAGAAAGAAACAAAGAGAATGTTAATCATTTAAGTGCAGTTAAAAGCATTTTTGCTGTTACATTGAGATTAGTACAGAAATTGAGGAAATATTTGTCCACTATTCAAAAATTATTATTTGATTCAGCAAATGACATAATTGATGGAGTAAGGTTTTCACAAAAACTATCTTTATTTTCATTTTGTTAATTAATATAGCAACATAATCAAACATCATTTATGTTGGAACTAATATTTTTGTTGAAACAGCATTATGTTGGAACATTCATCAATTACAATCCTAAGTTGGCTATGAATACAAGAATTTGGTAAAAACCAACAAAAATATTCTTGAGAATCAACTGATTAATGGAATTTACAATTAAAGTTTGTATATCTTATTATTTGCAGACTCGTTGGTGTACATTTTTGTATCAGTAAAATTATAACAAACTCGTGTGTGTAGGCACACATATTTTCTTTTTTATCTGAACTAGTTTTAAATATTTACCAGCACACCTCTGTGTGTGGAAGCCTAGTGAAAAAAGTATTTTCAGGAGTGTAACAATATGAAATGTTGCTGATGGGCCAAATGAGTTGATTAATAAGTGACCACTGGATTTAGTAATGATGGGATGATTGAGTGGAAAAGAAAATAATTGATAATGGAACAATGTCCTTGGGTAAGCAAGAGAGGATAGATTTCAGTGCTCAAGTAGAGGAGTTGGTCTTAGAAACAGAAATACTTTATTCATAGTAATATAAGGGAAGGAAGACTGTATGGGCACAATTACAGGTAAGTCAGTAGATGTTATGTTAGGAGCTTGTGGAAGCTGTCTTCTGACTTTCTGTGTAATAGGAAGTAATATTGTCAGCTGAGAATGGCCATGAGGAAGAAGAGTTGGAAGATTCAAGATAAAGGAGGAAATATAAAGAAGAGTTGGAAGGTTCATGAGAACCTTCCACGAGGAAGAAGAGTTAGAAGGTTCAAGAGAAAGGAGGAAATAAAAAATAAATATAAGCTATTGTTATTATAACTGGTATTTTAGCTATTTTTGAAAGTGGTAGGTGGGAAGGGAAAGAGGGCTTTTAAAATTCAAAGACAATTATCACCTAAACACAAAGGTGGTATAACTAGTGATTTTTTCAAGGATGTTTTGTCTTGTGAAGGTTGAAGACATTATTCAAGAAGTCATAATAAGATACGGATTCAGACTGTCTACTAATTTGTATAGGCAAAATGGTTTAGAAGAAGAGGAGATAGTGATTAATTTTAACCATCAGAGATGGCCTTATAGAAAAGAGAGCATTTGAGTTATACCTAAATTAAGAGAAAGTAGATTTTCAGTTGACCATGATTATTTTCTGTATGCTGAACATTGTGCGTGTATTTTCTTATTTAATTGTAATACCTGTGAGGAAACAGAAGCTCAGAGAGGTTAAGAAACTTGTTAAAAATCACACACAGCTAGTAAGTAAGAAGATCTGGGTTATAACCAGATTTACCTGACAACAACCCCTTTTCAGGATAGCACACTGATTTTAGTGGGAGACAGTGGTATGGGGAAGATGTACCAGCACAGGGAACAGTAGGAACAAAGAAAAGTACAGGGGTGAGAAAAAGTAGAGAGAGAGAGAGAGAAAAAGATGGGAAGGGAAAAGTGAGTAATCTAGTATGACTTAGGCTCTGTGTGTGTTTGGAGAGTATGGACTCTATAGTGGGAAATAAGGCTGAAAATATTTGATCATGGGAGAGGCCCTAAAATTCACGTTAAAGAAGTTGGATATTGTTTTGTAGGAAGTCATCAATTTTAAGATAAGTGTCTCTGACAAGAGAGAATTATATATAACCTGAACATTGTGGCCAGGATTGAGTTAATTGTTTTGTTTTACAGTTAGAGATTCGTTTGGAAGATAGGACTATAGAAATAAAACTGGATTGTTGAAATTGAGCACTGAGTGTAATTATTAATTTCATATGGTAGTTTATAGAAATTATTATCTTATTAAGTTATTTTGTGTTATTAAGTTAGGAACACAATTATAGAATAGTTTAATGTTAGCTTTCTATTTTGCTAAGACCATAAGATATTTAATATCATGTTTTTCAGATACTGACCGAGCTTTATCATTACTGGAAGAATACTGCAAAAAATTAAAGACACCAGAAGAGCAGCTGTTGAAAAATGCTGTTAAAAAGGTGATGGGTATCTTTAAGAGCAGCTTATTCCAAGCTTTGCTAGGTATGTATTATGAAAATTATTCATCATTTTAATGGTCAGAATTGGGTTTGATAGCTTGAATAATGTGGTTAAAGAACCTGATGTTAACTAAATATCATACTGGAATAATTTTCTTTAATACTGGAAAGGAGGATTTGTTTTATTTTGTTTTTTGTTTTCCTTTTTCTTATATAAGGTTAACCTAGAAAGGAATTGTTTTAGAAGTAAAAAGAGGTTATTGAAAAATATAAATATTGAAAGAATGTTTTGAATCGGAAGAAAAGTTTACACAGAAGAAAACCTTGAATAGTATGTTATAAAACATTGAGTCCAAATATGCCAGAGACGAAAGTTGTCTTCCTCCAGGGAAGGAATTGTCTAACATAAAAATGATGGTTACATTCTACTTAGAATGAAAGTTCTACTTTTACTCTCTTCTTAAAACAAAAATAACATCTTTTCATCTTTCTTGCTTCTCTTAGAAAAGTTTATGATCCAGAATTGAAAAGTTTATTGATGAAAATCTCAGTGCTTTGGAATTCTTACCAATTTGTCGTGAAGCTAGCCATATAACATTTAATCTTATGTTTATTCTCCTACTTATTAAAGATTGTAAAGAAAATTAAGAATACAGTTTATTTATATATGTTTTTATACATACATCTCATATTTATGCAAATAGCTTTTAATTCTTTTTTTCATATTTTAAGAGGGAAAATAAATTAACAAAATATGGAAACAAATATTTTCCCAAAAAAACAACTAGCTAAGCAAACAATAAAAAAACCCACTCAATTATGCAATATATTTTATTGGATTTAAGGAAATAATTTATTTTAAATAATTGTAAAGAAATAACTGAGTTGTCTAGATATTTTCATTGCTTTTGCAGGCTGGTAATTATTGATATAAAATCGAAAAATAGGAATTTATAAGGCTTAATCATGAAAATACTTTTTATTGTAAATATACATTTTGATAAAAACCCAACTTTATAGTTTGAATATAATTTTAAAAAATATTAAATTTTGAAAATTTGAAAATCACTCTATTGAATAAAAATAGAAGTATAAACCTTTATGGGATTACTTTGCCTGTGGATTAACTTTAAAAAATATTTTATTGTGGCTGGCAGGAATTAATAACACAACTGTAATCGTCTTAGCTGGCATTAAATAAAAACAACTCTAAATGTAGTCTTGCAGAAATTTGAATAAACCTTGTCAATAAAGATAATATTTTGAGAACATTTTTAAACGTCGAATTCTCAATTAAAAATTAATAGTGTTATTTATTAATAGTTGGTCATTAGTAAAAGGCCATTAACTAAATGGCAATGTATCTTAACAGATTTGTATAATGTGTTTACTTAAGACTGGCTAAGTCTTTTGAGAGTTTGCATTTTTGAGAACTTGATTTAGAAAGGGGATTGTTGGTTAATTTAGGTAACTCTACTATATTTTTGATAATATAATCATTTGATAATATAACACCATTTTCTAGGGAATAAAAAGACAAATGAGTAACAAAGAATTTTACAATTATTTTAAGTGAATGATAACTATCTTGGATTAAAGCCAATAGTGTAGTTTGAATTTCTCTAGTAAAATGAAAGGCAACAATAATCTGTAAAAAGCTGTTATGTAAGTAATCCCAGTGCCCAGCTTTGAATGGATAGATTTGCTTTGGCTGGTCTTTAAAAGTCATTTTAGGATAAACCATAGTGCAAATAATGAAGCAACATTATACAACAAAATATAATTTTCTATTGAATTCGATTTGGGCACCTATGTACTGATTACTAATCTGCCATTATTGAATGCTCAAGTGGTCTCCCTGTGCGCTTTCTTTAAAGACACAGAAGAAAAGCCATGTAGACTCGTGCATCCCAGAGAAGATTTATATCTTTATAACAGATAGGTAGGGAGGCATTGAAATATAGGGCATCGTTTATGGTCTATAATTTGCATTCTGTTTGAACCAAGTCCCCCACCCCACTCTTTTCTTTCCTGTTACAAGTAGTGGAAGATAGTAGTTTCACCCATTGTTCTGGCCAATACATAGCCAATACATTGAAATAATACCTTGTATGACTCTCAATAGCTGTAGAAATAGAAGGGAATCGTAATGTAAAAAACACAAACAGATAATAAAATATTATTACTGCAGAACAGGCTGTATTATTTACATTGTGACTAGGAAACCAGTCCCTCTTTTTCCAGAAGAAAATCATCATTCTATTTTATTTTTATTTTTTTCTTAATTTATTTAAATTTAGGTGCATACTATATCTGGCATTTCTCCCCATGTTATCCCTCCCCACCCTCCCCTCTCTCCTCACCCCCCACTGTCTCTCCCCTGCCCCTGCCAACTGCCCCCAGTGTGTGATAATCCTCTCCCTGATTCCATGTGTTCTCATTGTTCAACACCCACCGGTGAGTGAGGACATCAGGTGTTTGGCTTTCTGTTCTTGTGTCAGTTTGCTGAGAATGATGGTTTCCAGATTCATCCAAGTCCCTACAAAGGACACGAACTCATTGTTTTTTATGGCTGCATAGTATTCCATCGTGTGTATGTACCACATTTTCTTTGTCCAGTCTACCATTGATGGACATTTGGGTTGGTTCCAGGTCTTTGCTATTGTACAGGGGGCTGCAGTGAACATATGTGTGCATGTGTCTTTATAGTAGAATGATTTATAGTTCTTTGGGTATATGCCCAGTAATGGGATTGCTGGGTCAAATGGAATTTCTATTTCTAGATCCTTGAGATCTAGAAAAAACCACTGTCTTCCACAGTGGTTGAACTAATTTACACTCCCACCAACTGTGTAAAAGTGTTCCTGTTTCTCCACATCCTCTCCAGCATCTGTTGTCTCCAGATTTTTTAATGATCACCATTCTAACTGGTATGAGATGATATCTCAATGTGGTTTTGATTTGTATTTCTCTAATGACCAGTGATGATGGGCATTTTTTCATATGTTTGTTGGCCTCATATATGTCTTCTTTTGAAAAGTATCTGTTCATATCCTTTGCCCACTTTTGAATGGGCTTGTTTGTTTTTTTCTTGTAGATCTGTTTTACTATTTCATAGATTCTGGATATTAGCCCTTTATTACATGGGTAGATTGTAAAAATTTTTTCCCATTCTGTTGGTTGCCGATTCACTCTAATGATGGTTTCTTTTGCTGTACAGAAGCTCTGAAATTTAATTAGATCCCATTTGTCTATCTTGGCTTTTATTGCCATTGCTTTTGGTGTTTTAGTCGTGAAGTCCTTGCCTATGCCTATGTCCTGGATGGTTTTGCCTACATTTTCTTCTAGTGTTTTTATGGTGTTAGGTTTTATGTTTAAATCTTTAATCCATCAGGAGTTAATTTTAGTGTAAGATGACAGGTAAGGGTCCGGTTTCTGCTTTCTGCACATTGCTAGCCAGTTTTCCCAACACCATTTATTAAACATGGAGTCATTTCCCCATTGCTTGTTTTTGCTGGGTTTGTCAAAGATCAGATGGTTGTAGATGTGTGGTGTTTCTTCTGGGGCCGCTGTTCTGTACCATCAGTCTATGTCTCTGTTTTGGTACCAGTACCATGCTGTTTTGATTACTGTAGCCTTGTAGTATAGTTTGAAGTCTGGCAGTGTGATGCCTCTGGCTTTGATCTTTTTGCTTAGGATTGTCTTGGCTATGCGGGCTCTCTTGTGATTCCATATGAAGTTTAAAGTGGGTTTCTCCAGTTCTGTGAAGAAAGTCATTGGTAGCTTGATGGGGATAGCGTTGAATCTATAGATGACTTTGGGCCATATGGCCATTTTCAAGATATTAATTCTTCCTAACCATGAGCATGGAATGTTTATCCATCGTATGTGTCCTCTCTTATTTCATTGAGCAGTGGTTTGTAGTTCTCCTTGAAGAGGTCCTTTACATCCTTTGTTAGTTGTATTTCTAGGTATATTATTCTCTTTGTTGCAATTGTCAGTGGTCGTTCGCTCTTGATTTGGCTGTCTTTAAGTCTGTTATTGGTAAATAGGAATGCTTGTGATTTCTGCACATTGATTTTGTATCCTGAGACTTTGCTGAAGAAGCTTATCAGTTTGAGAAGATTTTGGGCTGAGATGATGGGGTCTTCTAGATATACAGTCATGTCATCTGCAAATAGAGACAGTTTGACTTCCTCCTTTCCTAATTGAATACCTTTTATTTCTTTTTCTTGACTGCTTACTCTGGCTAGAACTTCCAATACTATATTGAATAGGAGTGGTGAGAGTGGGCATCCTTGGCTAGTGCCTGATTTCAAAGGGAATTCTTCCAGGTTCTGCCCATTCAGTATGATATTGGCTGTAGGTTTGTCATATATAGCTTTTGTCATTTTATGATATGTTCTGTCAATACCTAGTTTATTGAGAATTTTTAGTATGAAGGGCTGTTGAATTTTGTCAAAGGCCTTCTCTGCATCTATTGAGATAATCATGTGGCTTTTGTCTTTGGTTCCATTTACGTGATGGATTACATTTATGGATTTGCGTATGTTGAACCAGCTTTGCATCCCCAGGATGAAGCCTACTTGATAGTGATGGATAAATTTCTTGATATGCTGTTGCGATCTGTTTGCCAGTATTTTATTGAAGATTTTTGTGTCGATGTTCATCATGGATATTGGCTTGAAGTTTTCCTTTTTAGTTGAGTCTCTGCCTGGTTTTGGGATCAGGACAATGTTGGTCTTATAAAATGAGTAAGGGAGGATTCCCTCCTTTTGTATTGTTTGATACAGTTTCAGAAGTAATGGAACTAGCTCCTCTTTGTATGTCTGGTAGAATTCAGCTGTGAACCCGTCTGGACCTGGACTTTTTTTGGTTGGTAGGTTATTGATTGCTGCCTCTACTTCAGCCCTTGTTATTGGTCTATTCAGGGTTTCAACTTCCTCCTGGTTTAGTCTTGGTAGAGCACAAGTGTCTAGGAATTTATCCATTTCTTCCTGGTTTACTGGTTTATGTGCATAGAGCTATTTGTAGTAATCTCTG